GCCACGTTCGCCCACAAATATACAGTCAATTCACTTTACAGTGTGTTCTGTGAAGCGCTTTGGGACGTCCTCCCGACGTGAAAAGCGCTATATCAAATGCAAGGATTATTATTAAAGTCCAGCTTCATGACTAAAAATAGTTACTAATCATTAGCAGAAATTAAGAATGGTAGCACAAGCTTTCTTTTGAGTATCTATTTGCAAGATACTCAAGTAACTACAGTAGTTTACTTGAATGGAATCAACTGCATTTACTTTGGAGCTGCTGTAACATTAAATTAATGTAAAATGTTGCAGCTTGTAAACATAATGAACTAAATGGGTGTAAATTTAATCTTCCTCAACAGACAGGAATTTTTACTGTAAAATTTATTAACAACTCCCACTGTATATCTAGTTACTGATATGTGATGCCAAGTGAAGCAACACTGTCTCCAACTTCATTACCAAAACCAAATTAATGCAGCACTCTGGACACAGCGGTCTAATCCATTTGATGTAAATCAATGCTTTTCTCATTTATATTGCTCTGCTTTCTTTCAAAAGGTACGTTAAATTAATTCAATAAATAGACAATGGATTGCTCACAGAAACTAAGAAAGCCAAATGGCCATAGTTGAAGGCTATCTGACAAATACAACAATTAAATCATTGAAGAAAATTAGCTCAACATTTAAGTTGATTCTGATGATTTAAATTAAATATTGTTTATGCTTCCTATGTCCAATTTAACATGTCATTTTCGTTAGCAACTTAATTTTGTTCCAACAGCAACACTACTGCTTAAGTACACAATCCCATTTGGAAGCGACCCATTAGCCCTTCAATAATCACAAAACTGCATGTTTGAAAACTGTCAGTTTTTAGAAACAGCCAACAATCGCAAACCAATTTGTGAATTGAAATCAACATTTTATTCCTAATTTTAATCCAAATACCAACAATAGTCAGGATTTGCATCTACAAATCACCCATAAAATACATAATTTTACAGAGTCCTGTAGCTCAGTGGTTAGAGCACTCGCTTTGCAAGCGAGAGACCTGAGTTCAATTCCAGGCAGGGCGAAACCTTGGACAAGTTTCCTTACTCCACACGCCTAATAATAGCCCCTCCAAAACCAAAAACAATAATAAAAAAAAATTGGTCATTTTCAATCCACGACTGCTTGTGGGACATTGCTGTGCGCAATTGGCTGCCGCGTTCGCCCACAAATATACAGTCAATTCACTTTACAGTGTGTTCTGTGAAGCGCTTTGGGACGTTCTCCCGACGTAAAAAGCGCTATACCAAATGCAAGGATTATTATTATTATTATTATAATCAATTCACTTTACTTGAATAAGGAATGGATCACTTAACATTCAGGACATGAAGATCAATGTTACAAAAGCATTTTCTCAGACAATTAAATCTTCATAAACAAAAATATACCATATCAGTGTTTCATTATTTCCAGCTATATTTATTGCTGAAGTAACTTAAAACAACCTTGCCAACCTACTTCAGGACTACTAAAAGTTGCAAATAACTCGCTGTTGGAACTATCTTAATACACTATGTACCTCAAAGTAACTAAAAGGTCAATCCATATCCCAGAGTAAAATGAGTTGGCCATTTGAGGTTCTAGTGTTGCCCATGGATAAGAAGTGTTCCACAATCAGTACCCAGGACACCTGCTAGCACAAGATGAAAAGACAAAAAAAGGAGTTTATCACATTAAATTCCTGTTTTTTTTCCCAGAAAACACACACAAGAATTGAATTCATCCCCATCCAGCTGATTGCTTGGTAGAAAGTCAGCTCTTTTCTAACAATAGAATCAGTCAACACAGCAGTTTACAGGAATCATTTTTAAAATGCACATTTTGTCAGCTCCGCATTTTACTGTATGTTGGGTTGATATTTTGCACTGCACATGAAACATGAAGCATAAGAAACACTTTTAAAGTGTTATTTCAGGAGCTTTAAGGGACCAATATCACCCATGCCCTAAACATTTTAAACACTTAAATCACTGCCTGTCAATTTTTGTTTCCCAACAAAACCCTCATTACTTCAAGTTTCACACAAATTGGAATCTTCAGTCTCAGTACTCTTATTATTATCATCAGTACTCTTCACTGAACTCCCACTATGTCCTATTGAAAGCACACCAGTTTGAAACCAACATTATAATTATAATAATAATAAAACCAACATTGAATGCAAAAGGTGGAACGTTTCATTACCAAGCACTGATAATCCACTCCATCACCTTTATGAAACACAAATATAAATAACTCTGCAATGTATATTGTAAGCAATGAATTTGCAAAACTTTAAGATGCTTTTCACAATGTCTTCATAACCAGACCATAATTCACAAATGATAAAATTAAAATAAGTGCAAGATTTACAACAGCAAAATTATTTGGCAAAAGGTCTGCACAACCTCCTCCCACTAACTTGTCAATTGAACACATCATTCCAAGCCCTGTAATTTCCTCTCACTTCTTCCCCTTTCCCCTCCCATATCTATCCAGTTTACACCTTTTGGATTCATTTCTTGCTTCTGCTCTACTGTTCTCACTTATAGTTACATTTGACAGAGCTTCCTGATGTGAAGAGCCTCACAATCAAACTGCCCACAAGCACACTGACCTCCACTAAAATAATAATAATCCTTGCATTTTGATTTAGCGCCTTATTACATCATCACGTCTTATAGCACTTCATAGGATATACTGTAAAGTGGGTTGAATGTGAATTTTGTGGGCAAAACAGTATTAACATACCAACCATTCCTCTTCAGTACAACCCAAGTCACCAAATCTTTAACTTTAAAACAAATTGTTTACATTACAGGTGAAGACAGACACCTTCTGAAAAATCAGAGATAGGATAAATCTGCAGTAGAAATCTAGTAGCATGAAGTCTTACAGGGTATATGACAATGATTTTTCAAAATATATTGCTTCTAATATTCACCATCTATTCGTGTACTCTAATGCATGAAAAATTTCACTCAATTACATTTTTTTTAAAAATAGAAATATGCTGTAGATGCAAACCAAGTCATACAACATCCGAAAAAGACTGTTAACATTATAAAAGTCTATCATTATTCTGAAGCTGGGAAACGTTGGGCAAGTTTTCTTATTCCAAACACCTCAGTTTACCTAGCGGTAAGTAGGAACCCGGTTGTTTGTCGATTGGTGGATCGCTCTTCTGGGGGTAATAAACCCTTCAAAAAAAAGTTGGTCACTCAATCTACGCCTGTTTGTGGGACACTGTTGCGTGCAATTGGCTGTCGCATTTCACCCACAAAATCTACAGTCAATTCACTTTACAGTATATTCTGTGAAGCGCTTTGAGATGTCGCTTTAGCAAATACAAGGATTACTATTATTATAAATATTTGGGTAAAAATCACAAAAATACCTTTAATCCCACAACTGTCAAAAAATGCACCTTAAAAACTTTTAGGAGATACATCAACCATCTGTACTTAAAAAATATATATCCAAAGAATAGCAGGGAGGCAGCATCAACATTGCCACAAATAAAACATTTCGCTGAGCTTTGTATCACGACCCCAGAATAAGTCATGGTCTGCTCCAGACGCTTGTTTTTAACCATAGTATCCCAACATTTATTCTAGTCTAATTATACAAACCAAATGTCGCACTAAATAACATCAGTAAAATCCCAGATTAACTATCTTCAAGTAAAGGAGTGGGGGGGGGATATCAACCACCCACCTATACTCAAAAAAGTGATAACGCTGACAGTTCAAATTCCAGTAATCAACATATCTTTGGTTTGCATCCACGCAGAAAAGCGCTGACAAACCGCTAAACTGAACACGCATCTGCAAAGAAAAAAGTCTGGTTACTTTGAACACATTTTTTTTTAATCGAGAGTGCGACTGAGACGAATCTCTGGAGAACATCATTCCTTGCCACTGCACCGTGAGAGGGTTCCGGTTTGCCACCAGTGTTTGATTAAAACTCAAAACCATCACATGCATCGGGACTTCCCGAGAGTGAGAGAAAAATCAGCGTTTCCAAGAGCAGAGGGGTGGGTTCCTCCTTCCCTGGAGTAATTAGGATCCGTTTGGAAAGCCGAGCGAACAGTGTGACAGAGATTCGTGCATAACACACAGTGGGGCAGTTCGGTCCGTTTACAAACTTAAACAAAGATGATCCGTGCACTCGAAACTTTCAGCGACAGAAATACTGGGCATTGAGTATCCTCCTCCATAGATACTCGGGCTCCAACCGCAATAAAACCTCTCATCTGGACCTTTTTTTATTAAAAAAAACAGCAACAGCCTTCGGCTTCTCTGACTTGGGCTGAAGTTTTACGATAAAGCGCTGCCTCTACCCCCCCCCCCCCCCCCCCACACACACACACACCCACACCCTCTCCCCAAGAAAGTTCTTCGTAGAATAATGATTCAGTGAACGAGCAGAGACGGTGACTGGAGCCCCACATGGACCGGAGCAGACTTTCGACCCTTCCTCGCCCCCAGACCATCCGCAGCTCTCTCCCAACACCAGCCCCCCGAGGGGGGGAACACGACCCCCTCCCTCACTCCAGCCCCCGAGGGGGGGAGAACACGACCCCCTCCCTCACTCCAGCCTCCGAGGGGGGGAGAACACGACCCCCTCCCTCACTCCAGCCCCCGAGGGGGGGAACACGACCCCCTCCCTCACTCCAGCCCCCGAGGGGGGGGGGAACACGACCCCCTCCCTCACTCCAGCCCCCGAGGGGGGGGAACACGACCCCCTCCCTCACTCCAGCCCCCGAGGGGGGGGGAACACGACCCCCTCCCTCACTCCAGCCCCCGAGGGGGGGGAACACGACCCCCTCCCTCACTCCAGCCCCCGAGGGGGACCACGAGCCCCCTCACCACCCCCACACTCCCTCACTCCAGCCCCCGAGCGGGACCACGACCCCCCCCCCCCCCCCCCAAAACCCCCTCACTCCAGCCCCCGCGCCCCCCCCCCAACCCTCACCTCGGCGCTCCGGGCTTCGCCGTCTTGCCGTTGCCCATGACGGCGGGCACGCAGTTGGTCAGCTCGGTCCAGTCGGCGTGGAGGCCGCAGCTCCAGCCGGTGGAGAACCTGGAGAAGAGCCAGCTCTCCTTCCTGCCGGGCCGGTGGCAGGTGCACTTCTTCTGCCCGGCCCGGCAGTCGCACGGCCGCTCGAGCTCGATGTTCCTCACCAGGTGGCGGCCGAAGGTGGTGCCGCCCGTCTTCTGGATGTGCAGGAAGACGATCACGTCGTCGCCCCTGATGTCGAAGCGCAGCCGCCGCAGCAGCTCGCGCTCCGTGAAGTTCAGACGGGCCACGAAGCGCCCGGCGCTCTCGTCCTCGGCTCCGTACGGATCGACCCCCTCAGCCGCCGCCGCCGCCATCGCCATCGCCGCCGCCGCCGCCGGGCCGTCCACCCCCGCGCCGCCGTCGCCGTCGCCGCCGCCGCCGCCGCCTGACGAGAAGAGCCTCAGCCGCTGCACCTGGCACTCGTTCCCCGGACACACGTACTGGAGCAGCAGGACGGCGAAGAGAACGAGCATAAGAAGGGCCAGCAGCAGCTTGTTGGACTTGTCATCCATGTTCCTGGCACCGTTCATCCGACACCATTTCCCGGACCGTTGACTGACCGTTTATTTATCGTCTGTCTGTCTGTCTGTCTGTCGGTGCTGCCCCGTTGCCCGTTGCCCGCTCGCGCTCTCAGCTCCTCGCGCGGTTCGGACCCTCTCTGCCGGCGGCCGCAGCCGCGATTATACCTCCAACATCCCGGCAGTCCCCGCGCCTGTCTGCCGCCGGCACTCTGTCAGCAGCGGCCACTGTGTGCCCTGAGCTCACAGCGGTCTCCACACTGAGCTCCGCACTGAGCCCACAGGACCCTGTGCCCTGAGCTCACAGCGGTCTCCACACTGAGCCCACAGGACCCTGTGCACTGAGCTCACAGCAATCTCCACACTGAGCTCCGCACTGAGCCCACAGGACCCTGTGCACTGAGCTCACAGCGGTCTCCACACTGAGCTCCACACTGAGCCCACAGGACCCTGTGCACTGAGCTCACAGCGGTCTCCACACTGAGCCCACAGGACCCTGTGCACTGAGCTCACAGCAATCTCCACACTGAGCTCCGCACTGAGCCCACAGGACCCTGTGCCCTGAGCTCACAGCAATCTCCACACTGAGCTCACAGGACCCTGTGCACTGAGCTCACAGCAATCTCCACACTGAGCCCACAGGACCCTATGCACTGAGCTCACAGCAGTCTCCACACTGAGCCCACAGCAATCTCCACATTGAGCCCACAGGACCCTGTGCACTGAGCTCACAGCAATCTCCACACTGAGCCCACAGGATCCTGTGCACTGAGCTCACAGCAATCTCCACACTGAGCCCATAGGGCCATGTGCACTGAGCTCACAGCAATCTCCACACTGAGCCCATAGGGCCATGTGCACTGAGCTCACAGGACCCTGTGTACTGAGCTCACAGCAATCTCCACACTGAGCCCACAGGACCCTGTGCTCTGTGCTCACAGCACAGCAATCCCTACACTGAGCTCCTAGCAGTCTCCATACAGAGCCCACTGCAGCCTGTGTGCTGTGTTCACAGCAATCTGTACACCAAGCCCACAGGACCCTGTGTGCTGTGTTCACAGCAAACCCTACATTGAGCCAACAGAACCATGTGTGCCATGTTCACAGCAATCAGCAGCCTGTGCCCATTACAGCCTGAGCCCACAGCAGCTAATACACTGAGGCAACAGCTGTAGCTCCTAGTAACTGTGCTTACGACAGCTGCTGCTTTAGCTGTATCTGTTATGTTCTCGAGTACCCGCTACATCAAGCCCACATTTTGCTGTACACTGTTAGTTTTGTGGTCACAGAAATATTTAAGGCAAGCTTCTGCATTCCCAGTACCCACATGCTCCCAGTCCTATGATGACAGCAGCCCTAGAACCCTGTGCACACTGTGTACATGCTGTATTGTGTATGCATATGTGTATAGATAGCCTGTGCACCAATCTCAGTATCTGCGTACTGTACTTACTGCCTGTGTACCAAAACCAGAGCAGCTTCTGGACTCCTACTGCCTTCTGCATGAAACCTAGAGCTCTCTATTTTACACTCCTAGCATCAATTCAGCATCCATGCCCACTTCAAAGAATTGCTGTTTAGGGCAAGAACTGAACTACATAGCCCTGATAGACATTATCCCCTGTACTTAGATGATAATCACAAGGCATGGTATTTATTCAGATGGGACAGTCTCCATCCATCCTTAGGGTATTTTGGGACATGTTACTTATTTACCCTCAAAAGGATGAAAAAAAGCTGTGGAGCCTGAGCTGACAGAGCTTTGTGATGATAATCCTGCATTCACAACAGTTGGCTAGCTACACAGCAGATATACCACTGATAACAACTACAAAAAAAATTTAGAATGGTGGTCCATTGCTTTATTGTTTTCAAGTAATTATACAATTGTAATCAAGTAATTACATATCACAAATTATTAATTTACACTTCATTCATTTTATTTCCACATTATTTTCCCGATGTTTGTTTATAACAATGACAATATTGATAAGTTTCCCTTTTAGGGAAATTAGACAATATTGATAAGTTTCCCTTTTTTCTTGAAAAGCAGAAATCGTAGGTAATTTTTTTAAAATATGAATTTGTATTTTAAAGTGTACATATTAAAAAATCCAAACTGGTTAACAACCTGTGCCTTTGGAGACTTGCAGGGTAATGACCAACTGTTATTTTCTAAATTCTGTTGTTTCAATGGTATTGAGCATTTGGTGTACTCAACTCAGATTCAGTTGGCAGGTTATTTATTGTTGGCCAGATTGTACCTGAATATTTGGTAAAATTTAGTAAAGCTTGCATGACTTGTAATGTATGATAAATAGTAATGCAATCAAAAACATTTAAAGTAGAGATCAGAATTTACATCAGCGAGGTGGAATGTTTAGCCACGTAAGTGAGCAAGGAGTAATTCTGTATCACCCTTTGCTTATACAATCACTGAAAAGTGCAATGCTTGCAAATCAATTAAGTTTGCTTTCCCATTAAAACATTGTGCATGGCCCAAGAGCTTACAAGTAACCATTGTCCAAAACTGGTTCTAATAGTATTACAAAAAATTATAGTAACATCCAATTTTGATGTTCATGCTCAGAATTTGTATTGGGCCAACAGCCCTAAATTTAATGATGTTATGAACAAGAAATATAACTCCACTATATTCCCTCCAGGAAACATGGGGGTGAAATTTCAATTGATCTAACTTTTCACTTAATTACTGTTTCCCACTGAATCCCTTAAAAAAGGTCACAAATTACTTCACTTCAAGCAAAAAGGATAATGTGTGAGTGCTGGAATAATAGTCAGTATATTGAGATGTGTGTGTTGAACAGACCATGGCTGTAGCATTGTGGACAACATGGCCTAGTGAGATGTTGTGTAATTTGTAGGAAATAATAATGAATGTTTCTCTTTTAATGTATTTTCAAAAAAACTTTTTCTTTTCCATGCTCTCTTAAGAGGGTGAATCATCTATTTGTGGAGACTATCAATGAACAAAGAAGATTTGAAAAGGAGTGCACCCAGGTCACAGTGGCATATGATAGGCTGAGCAAATTAATGCCTGCTTCTCATGCAGGTCAAGGAAGAAAACACATGAATAAAACTTTTTTTTCTGAATACTGCTTACATTGTGCCTTTGTCATTGCTTTAAACTACACTTCCTAGCTCACATTCACAATACAAATTTCACCTTGTTGCAAAAATGAAACACGGAGCAGATAATGTGGAGTATTGGAGTCTCTGCTTTTCATCTGTGCTTTCAGTCACCTTCTCCCCACAAGCTTGGGTGTTTGTTGATTTTTATTTTGCACTCTCAAAAGAGCAGAGCAGTCAATCAGTTAATTAAATTGGTGCGACTGTCTATCAACGAGACAAGCAAGCAAAGAGTGATCAAATGTTTGAAAGCAAAAGGGCAAAGAACCTATTCATTTAGGGAGTACAATCCTGAGATGTGATTTCACATCTATCAACTAATATGGTGGGAGACCTTTACCTTGGCTGGACCTTCAGCAGGAGCCACTAAGCAAAGGTTTGGAACCTCACCGCAGTCAAGGAAAGAAAATAGCAGTGATGAATGCTGGGCTGCTTCTTTGAACCTTTTACACCTCTGTTATAGTTCATGCTTGGAGCTGGTGCCTTGCAATCCTTTTTGCTGCACTGACACCAAACGCTCTATATCAATCACTACCGATTACACTTGGCTTCAGTACTGATCCTGGTTACTGGTGCTGTGCCACCACTAGAGTACCCAAACAATCTTTCGTTTAAAGAGAAATCAGGCAGCCTGCTGTACTTCTTTAAATGTCTAAGGGAGAAAAAGAGCAGATTATTGTGACAGCTCTTTTTGAACTTTGAAACTCTAATTGGCAACCAGTGTCTGGTGAATGGAATTCCCTGTATGCATTTAAATACACACATGAAAACCTCTGCTTTACCTGATCTGAATGTGGTAAAGCTGACAATATAACCATAGATCCTGCTCTGCGAAATCTCCAGTCACTGATTTCAGAGTTACGCTGCAGTCACTTGAGAGCAGGATGCTTGTAGTTATGATGGAAGATGGAGTGTAAGAGACTTGAAAGAGAGGAAGAGATATCACATAAAGACGGATAACAAATATTTTGCACCTGTTGTCTCAGCACACATTTAATTTCAAACAAACTGAGGCAGCAAACATCTAAATTCAGCACCTCTCTCAATACAAGGCCAGATTAGAATTGGAGTCCACTTAATTAATTACACCATGAGAGACACTTCATAAATAAATCTTGTTGAATAATTGAACAAGACCATGACAACTAGCTTGTAACATACATTATATAGAAGCACCAAAGCTATTCAAACTTCTCAGCATTTCAAAGGTGAGTTGACCAGTAGATGAAAAAATATTGTTCAATACTAAAGGGACCGTTTTTAAAACTATTATTTTATACAACTATTTTCATATTTACATGGTTTAATCTTTGCTCAAAGTGGAGATCATATCAATATTTTTTCCTTAGTAACAGGCAATTGCAATTATTTCATTTGGTTTAGATGAATTTTTTTTAAAAAAATGATTTTTCTGTTGTAGGTAACTGTAAGTTAAAGAAATGTAACCACTTCCAACCAATCAGGATGTAAAACGAGCTATTATATAAATCATAAGCTATTATAAAAGCAACATAAATTTGGATGAAATGTACTTAATCACATATATTAACTGCTTGTGTAATGTAGTTTATTCCTTTTGCACTACCTTTTGTCAAACCAGTGACTTGTATTCTATATCAATATATCTGCCTTATTGTATATTGCAGCTGTAATGTTCCTATTTCCCTCAGTAATTCATCACTCTGTTCTCATTTATACATGTCTTTGATAATTCATTTTAGATAAAAAGATGCCATCATCCTCTCACATGGTCTAAAATTTATCATACAACAACATAACATTGTCAGTGGGATTATATCCCTTCTCAACTGCTCCCATAAATCTGCTGTTCTTGGGTGCCTTTAGAAGTAGAACCATA